AAGCTTCTACCAGGGAAGATTCGTCTGTTCCAATGGAAAATAATAAATGGTTGCTTCCCCTTTCCTGAAACCCTCCGTACCATGAACTACAATATTCCTTCGAGGTGCATTTTCTGCATGCATGACAATGATACGTTGAACCACAGCCTGCTTCAATGTGGAAAAATCAGGCCTATTTGGAACCTGTATGCATACTATACAGATGGGCCAAGGTTGAGAGAAGGGATAACGTTAAGACAATACCTTTTCCAATGGTGGATCTCCTCCTCGAAGAACAACTTGAAAGGGATTCTACGAGCTTGCTTGCCAGGATTCCTCTTATGGGCAATATGGAAATCCTACTCCGCACACATGTTTGGCGGCGAAGCGATCAATCTTATGCGCATCCATCATAACATTGTTTTTATGACTCAAACTTGGGCAAGCCTGCACTCTAGAACACCTTGGATGCTGAAGGCAAATGGTCTGGAGGATATTGGACTCAGTGGATGCTGGAACAGAGGAGTCATCATGCACTAACCCTCTACTTTCTTTTCATTGTATTTCTTTTGTTTTGTTCCATACCTTCAGGGATTTGGTTTGGTCCTCTCCGAACGTGTTCTTCACCCGTTTTCAATAAAACAAGGGATTTTATTTCGAATTAAATATATATATATGTTTTCTAAATTAGAAAATAATTATTGGAGACTCTAAGTAAACTTTATTAATCTAGAAATACAAAAATTCCAGAATGAATAAAATTTAAAAATTTGAAAACCATTTGTTTATAGCTTGAAAACCAAAATGATATTGTGAAAATATATTTCACAATTCCGAAAATATCAAAATTTATTTTTCAAGTCAGAAATAAGTTCCAGAACCAGAATATGATTTTTCCAGAATGTAAAATATTAATTTTTTCAATTTAAAATAATTAAAAATCAGACTAGTGAATAGTACCGATCCAATTACTTCAAAAATACAAAATAAATACTTTTACGTGCTTAAAAATTATGAAACTTTTTATACAAGCTTGAAATCTCTGGTCGCAACTTATTATGAATTAAAATTAATTTTTGATCGTCAAAAATAAGTTTTCCTATTTTCTATTCAATAAACGAATTTAAAAATAGAAAAATAGGAAATTTATTCCAAAAATAGATTAAAATTTCTGAGTTATATTGAAATGTCAAATACATCCCAGAAAATATAAAATCTAATTTTCATAAATATTAAGTATTTATGGCACAAATAACAAGTATTCTACACACAAACTAGTTAATAAGAATAATATAAAAATACCCCAAACAGTAATTCCGAAAATTACTAAACAAAATTATATTAGGTCCAGTATCTAAATATGGCCACCTACTTAAATTTTATAATGGGATAAATTTTTGTCTCCAAAATTTATTGACTAATCTACAAAAACAATAACGGTAAAAACTACTAAACTAGTAACTTCGTAAGCCGGCTCTGATACCACTGTTGGAAAACGAGGCTTGAACAACTTACATAAATTACTAGCTATAATAAGAAATTTACCTTAACGGGGAAACACGGAGAACAGAGAAACGGTCGGGGATGGTTTTGAGGAGATGAACGTAGCGCCAAACGTATGAAGCCTCCAACGTATCCACACGAACTTGCTCCGGAGTCCTAGATTAAACTTGTGCTAGCAAGTTTAATTTAGGATAGTAAAAACTATAATAATACTACTTTGGGAGTAATAAATATATAGTAAAAATATTTATCTTATAAATATTTGTTTATAATATTTTGTGTATATTTCTAACACTTTAGAAAAATAACTTGGAACACAAAATAATATTTTCTCCCCTTTCTCTCTCTATGGCCGAAACTTATGTGCTAAAAATGGGGAGGGATTTTTCTCATTTTATAATACATTTCATTAAGTAATTTCTAGGAAATTACTTAGGGACAAAAACAAATTAGGCTTAATTCATTGTTCCCAACCAACACAACAAGACAAATATACTTTTGTTAATCAAATATTTGATTATAAAATCAAATATATCATTAGGTGGAATATCAAAATATGTTTTGTATTTCCCCCCTTAGAATTTCGGCCATAGCATATTTGTAATATATCATATATTATTTTTACATCAATAATTATCATATAATTAAAATGATGAAAATTAAAAATAATATATATATATATATATATATATATATATATATATATTTAAGAAGGAAAATTTTATTAGGGGACAAGCCCAAAACAAAAGTACAAAAGAAAGAAGAAAGAAAAGAAAATAAAAAAAGATGATGCACTGTGCATCCTAAAAAACAAACAAAACAAACAAGGAAACTAAAGGGAAAACAAGAGAAGCCAAAAACACCCAAACCACTCCACTAACTGCTACCAAGCATTGCATAAGCACCTTTTACCGAACAGAAACAGCAGGAGAAGACCAAAATGGCTCACAAACCCAAAAGAGTAATAAGTAACCACTAGCACCTTGTATGACACCCAAGGCAATTCTTCACAAATCCGCTTCCATCGTGTGGAGAGAATCCAAAGAAGGCTCTAGCATTTAAAAGCATACCCAAATCCTGATTTAGCACCAAGCAATACAAATCCCATCCTGTTGGTGCCTCAAAGAGAGTATCATACAAAATATGCAGGAAACTGCTCAAAGTTAAAACTGCCTACTTATTTCTTTTGTTTTCTTTGGCTAAAGCAGTAATTGAAAACAAAATCAAAAACTTCACACTTAATAAAGAATAAAACATAATACCACCATCAAACTATATCTCCACTAAGCAGAATTCCAAGGACACTCTCTCAACACCACTACTCAAGACCAAAAAATAGTAAACCGTGGTTCAAAAACACCAAATATCATCAGAAGTTTGAGATATCTCAGAACGAATAGGGGATGGAGGGCGTCTACGCCTAGCAAGTCTGAGACTTTTTCTAGGAGCAGGTGGGCTAGTTCCTCTAACGCATCCCCTCTCAAAGATGATCCGACCTTGATCATTATTGCGAATTAAGGCAGTAGTAAGTCCCTTTGGTCCTCCCCAGCGTTGGAGATGGTCATCGGGCTCGATACCGTCATCCGGGTACCACATTCTTGTTGGCTCCGGGTCAGGGTCAAACTCCACATTATCTCTGAAGAATGCTTGGAATTCAAAGTTATCCTCTTTCACATAAAGCTCAGTGTCTGAATGAAAGTCTTTGGCGGAGAAGCTTTCTTCTCGAACTCCCTCATTCTCAGGATAAACTACTAGGATAGGTTCAGGACATTCAATAATGGGAAGAGACTCATTGTTTCCATGATACAGAGGAGTGTGTTCTTGAGTTTCCCCCATGACCTCCTCTTGTATGGAATCAACTGATAGTTCAATTGAAGGAATCTTTACTAAATCCAAGTTCACAGATTTATCAGCTGGAGGAAGAGCAGAAACCGAAATGCTCTGCTGGGAAGATACATGGTGCATCCATAAGAACCAAAAACATCCTAGTTGAAACTGAAAGCTAGGAGGCTTCTTCTTAAGATGTTCGTAGTGTCCAGCCACTGTCAATTTTGAAGCAACAGAATCTGTAACATGTACATCTTCATTTCCAACTGATGCTTGATCGCTTGCAAAGCTCGTAGAAGTAGCCTCCTTGGTATCAGTCAAAGAATGAAGAGCAGCATCTCCTTGAATAGTTACCTCAGCTTGACCGAAACCTGAATTAGTACTGGGTTCTCCTTTTGATATTTGGACAAATGAGACTTGCTGAGCACCAGATAGCTTGACTTTACCGAAGAAGGAGTCAATGGCCTTATAGAACCTGGAGCCACCCTCTCTGTCAACCGGAATAAAGATGGAGTTAAAACCTTCAAGCCTGGATTCAGAAATTCTAATGAAATGGCCCCATCTGTTGGAGCCAAAGATAATGGAGAGTTTCCGGTTCTTGCTAAACCGAGTAAATTTCCACGGACTTCTTTTGAGTAAAGCAGGCAAAATCTCAATCAACTATTTTAGATCATCATTACTAAACCAAATATTATGAATTCCACGCCCAATCTCAGTAATACAAAAATTCAGATTGTAATGAGAATGCAAGAAACGAAAGATCTTAGATTGAATGTGAAAAGAGTGGCAGCAATTGAGGCTGTTTGCAGGTTTCTCAAAATCCTAGGATAATGACCTGAAATTTTGATCCCGACATCAAAATCCTTGGATATAGACACACACACAGACATTCGGGGCTACACACACACACATATATATAATTTGTTTTGTCAAAATATAATTATCATATAATTCAAATGACACAAAAAAATATAATTTTAAAATACATATGTATTTTTGAAATATATATATATATATATATATATAATTATCACAACTATATATTTAATATTACTCCCACTAGTGTAGTATACTACTCCCTTACAAGTCTTAAGTGTGTGACCCTTTAGGTATCCATAACACTTGCAATGATATTATTATAAATTAATACCATAGATAATAAGCGGTATCTAGCAACATACTATTACCCCCAGATTATGAAAAAGACGTTCATCTCATCAATACCTTCTATGACACAAGACGTTTTGTAAGTATTATCCTCCTGTCCTAAATGTCATGATTTAAGACAAGGCATGGGGTGTGTATCCTTGTAGAGTTAAATCAGATGTTACTGAATCTCAAGTAGACTGGCAGGGATCAGATATTTATCAGTCTCTGGGTAGCGACATATCTGGGCATGGCCATGCACTTTCCCAAGTCCTACCAGTGGGCCCATTGACATTATACTTCTATACAGTAGAAGGGACAAATCATGTATCTGTTAGTCACATCTCTAAATATGCTTAGCGGCATACCCAACGCATAACTGTACGTCTACCAGTATTTCAGATAGCATTAGTTATGAATCAAAGCATACGGCCCCACATATCAGAGAATGTAATAACTTCAAGTCTGAGGATAGTTATAGCAAGGTCGATTTGAGAATACTGATAAACACATTGCTGTAGATCGATGCAGTATTCTCAAGATGGGTCAATCCAGTCACACATTATCGATATAATATGCACCTACGTAGAGATTAAGATATCACAATACCTATAGTCTAGGAGACGGGAACGATGGCGATCAACTCCCCACCGCGCTCCCTGATGCTGGGCGGCGACCTGGCAGGGTCGTCTCAGGGAGCCTTCTCGGAGCGACCTCCCTCCCCACCCGTAGTGACCTACGAGGTGGCGACCGAGGGTCGCTCAACGAGGTTCAGCATTCCTCCCTCGTCCCCAAGTCTAGGGGATGTGCAACTAGAGACCCTGGTCACCTTGCCCGCTCAGGATCGAGCTCGCATCTCGGCCGGTTCTGAGGATGACCTCAATAACCTGGTTCTTCTGAAGCTTAGCCAGGTACTCGCCTTAACTCCCTTCTCATCTCCCTCCTTCTTACATTCCTGACTTTTTAAGTTTTGATTTAGGCCACGCTAGGGATGATCGAGCTCGTCGGCCGGAGGCAAGACCGCCAAGCGGCTATGGACAAGGCGAAGAAGGCTGCAGAAGACGCTAGAGGGAGTTGCAGGAGGAGGTCGCTCACCTCGCAAGGGAGTTGGAGGAAGAGAAAGGTTGCTTTTCCAACCTGGTGATAGAGAACGCTTCTTTATCTTCTGAAGTGGGGTTTGTTTCTGCCCGTGTGACTGAGTTGGAAGGATAGAAGGCCGATCTGATTCAGCCGCTGGAGGATGAGAAGAGCGACCAGGCCCGTCTCCTAGAGGAGGCAATTGAGTCCTTCAAGTCTTAGCCCGATTTCACTGTAGTCGCTATGGAACGGATGAGCAAGCTGGTGGTCGAGTGGCTCAACACTAGGCCTGGTGCTCAATGGATGGTCAAGGAGTCAGAGAAGTCCTTCAACAACGGGCTCTTCCAGGCCCAACTAGTTTTCCGCGACAAGCTAGCTCGGCTTCCCAAAGGAATCTCCTTCCCCGATCTTGGTCTTCCTCCTCCTTGTCGCGCCTTCGCTGAATTCGACCCCAGTCCTTACCTGGACGAGGAGAGTTCGAGCGCCTCCGTAGAGGAAGAGGAGACTGCTGTGAAGGCGACCAAGACGGGGAAGGCGACCAGGGGCCTAGGGCAAATCTGGCGACGTCCAAGGCGGGCGGAGCAGCTCGGGCTTATAACTTACCCCATTCTCCCCTTGTACTTTTGCCCTGAAACTTGTAAAACTTATGATTTTTTCCTTTTTGAATGCCTTGGTGTTTTGATACAATATCCTCATGCTTGCTATTTTATTTTACTCATCATGTGCATTTACTTTCCTTGTGCTTTCTTGTTGTACGCGTTTCTTTTAATCGACCCACCGTGTGTATGCGTATGGGCCTCCAGCCTTGGCCCAACTTCTATCTTTGGCCCAATTGCATGTCTGGGCCCAGCCTCGAGACCTGTTGCCGCCCAACTGTCCCACTGCATTCCTTACGGCCCTTGATTGGACCATCGCGCCGCTCATGGTTACTTTATCGGTTCAGCAGCCTTGGGACTTGACCGTCTCTTCGATTTCTTCACCCGGTGCTCTTTTTAAACCCTCCATTCTTCGTTTAACTCCTCTATCACACACCTTCGCTTTCTCCATTTTTGCCATGTCTAAAGAAGTTCCTACTTCTTTGAATCTTTCCGATGGGCCATCCTCTTCTCCGCCGGAGCCTGCCTCTTCCCCCAAGTCCGTTAACTGCAACGATTGGGGGGGCTAGACCCCTACGAATTCTGCCGCCGGTTGCCTCGCCGGCAGTGGCTGTAACGCCCCAAAACATACCCTAGAATTATTAATGAATTATTAATTAATTAATCAAATTTGTTTTGATTAAAAATAAATTGTTGTTGGGCCTTGGGCCAAAATAAAATATGTTTTGATATCCAATATCATGATCCGGATAAATCTCATAGAGATTAATCCAATATGTTGACTTACTGTGTGACCTTGATTGGGAACCTGAGTACAGACCCAAATCAAGGATAAATTAAGAAATTTATTTATGATATGAACTTTGAAATGATTTATTGAAATAAATCATGAGAATAAATAATATGAATGAAATGTAAGAACCTTTTTGAGTAAAGGTCAATTAAATCAATTTTGACTCTGTCAAAGTCAACCACCTAAAAATATGATGTCGGAAAAAGTATTACAAATAAATATGAAAATTATATCGTTTGATAGAGTTTAATTATACGATCACAACGGTGCAAACGAATTTCAATTCGGAGAAAGTTGGACCAAAAAGTGTTCCCCGACTGGGACCAAATTAGTCC